GATTAATCAAAAATAAGCAAAAATAATATTACACCGTGACCCAAATGTTTAATTAAACATCAGTACAGCGTTTTTTCTCTCATATTTAATTTTCGCACTTGCGAAACGGGACTATTTTACCGTTTTCGGGTGTCTCTTGTCCCACAGTGCGCCGGCAGATGCAACCGAACGCATAAAATGTTCCATAGAGAAAACCGAGTTCGGAAAGGGCTGCGGGATTGGCGGGGCGGGGGCCGCGGTTCGTGGGCAGAGGGGGCGGCAGAGAGGGCAAGGGAGGGTTTTTTGTCGGGTCCGTTAGCTCGGCTCGATTCGCAAAGTCGTTGCTCGTGGCGGCCACGTCAATTTGTCGAAATTCGTTCCGAATCGTTTTATGTCTGCCACACCGCGAGACGCGACCCGCTACCATGCGTACACAACGCCCCGGCCCCCATAGTGCTACCACACATTCTCCGAGCGAGTCCCGGTTCCCGAACCGTTTCTTCGATGATTCGTCTCGAGACCTCTAAGGACACATAAACATTTCTTTCGCGCCGCGGAGAACGATTTTCGAAGGCTGCCCCATTCTTTTTTAGTCCCGCTGCACCGCCACCGAGAAATCGCTCGTTCCCCCTCCGGGGCATTATTTTCGTTAATTTGATGATTATACGGGCCGCGGCGGTCGATTAATTAACGCGGCTCTCCGTGCGGCGAGACGAAAAAATTGTTCGGGCATTCCGCTGCCTTTCATTCCGCTCGAATTTCATTTCGTACGAGACGCTTCTTTGATCGATCAAGAAGATCTTGCCGCGATGGACAGTTTCGCGGCGTTATCGATTTCGGCTTGCCCGGCACCGAGTTTCGGTCGTCATACGATTTCGGATATCGCGCCGGTGACTCACGAGGAAACGCTATGTTTCCTGTGCGGTGCGCTCCTGTGAGTGATTAGTTTGCAAGCACCTGGGTACTTCAGATTTTCCAATTCAATTCAGCTTCAAGCACCAGTATCTGGTGCTTGAAATTGTTCGTAATTGAAATTGTTCGGAAGCACCGGAGCGTTCTTGATTCTTCAATTTAATTTTGCACGTACCCGAGTGTATCTGATCTTTGAATTTGATTTGTTCATAAGCGCTCAAGTATAGTACCCGAGTGTTACCGATGTTTCAATTCAATTTTGTTCGTAAGCAGCCGAGTGTTTTCTGGTTTATCAATTCAATATTGTGTTTGCAACTGCCTGTGAGTATGTATTTCTGATTTCAAAATTGCTCGGAATATGCGATGAGACTAGAATTGCATCGTTTCGGGAGTTCTCGAACATTCTGATCAGCGAACGAATCGCCGAAGCAACATTTTTTCCCCCGATGAATCGATGCATTGTACTTGACCGACAAATGAATTATTACGCGTTCACTTTTCGAGTGGCTCGGTCGAGGTTCGCTTACTTTAAATCACAAGTGTAGTCCCCTAGTTGCAGCGTGGTTGCACCAGCACCGGCTAATCTTATCTTATCCGGTGATCCTCCTAATACCGCGGTAACCGTGGCCCGCGTGTAACACGCGTTCGTACGGCCGCGATACAACCGCGTTTACAAAATATTCTCGGCTCTTTTTAATAAAATCCTCGTTACAATACCGACCGAATAATCGCCGATTAATTGCGCGAACCATGCCAGTGTAATTTTGATTACCGTATCGTCGGATGGACTCGTGGACTGGCTGCCACAAAACACGATAGCATGTACAATGTTACAATAATAACGAAATACAATGTTTGTCAGTGTACCTGTTTCGTTCTACGAATACTTGACAATCCAAAATCGTTAGATACTAGATAATACATATTTATTAGGTCTGCCGGAAAGTTCTGCCTGTTCGCCAGGTGAAAAGAATCATAAATTGTTCGTACATGCAATAATATTAACTGTACAATATAATTTCCGTCGTTGCTTCCCGACCTCTTGTCAGCGTAATGGCGATTTATAAATACAATTCTTGATAATTATATGTCGGAAATGAATATCTGCATACGTATTGAAACTTGAAATGACATTATCGGACAGCGCTTTCCGGTAGACCTAATTAGTTTCTACTGCATTTTCTACTGTAAGGTGTATTTTATCTTCGGTACACCTTGTGTGGGGTAATCTATGAAAATGCAAATTCGCAAGAAGTTGCTAACAATCATTCCTGGAAACGCAACTGTTTCGAGAAATTATTTCATTAGCCGTGGACGGCCTCGGTGTTACGGTCGCGACAAATGGCAACGTATGAGAAATGAAATGAAGGGCAACGAACGTGAAATTCGATCGACAAATTGGTTGCTGCGGGAACGATTGCTTGCCGTCGGACCGCGGATGATGGTTCGTTTCAAGGTTCAGAAGGCTAGAAGCGAAGTTTCGCGTCCTTTTTCGGTAGAAATCTCCAGCCGGTCGTTTCCGAAATAAGTAAAAATCAATCGGACGTCCGATATGATTAATTACAATCGTTCGACGACAATAATCAAGTTTGCCTTGGTAATCAAGGCCGCCGTACTTGTTTCAAAAGAAAGCCAGATTGATATCTTCGTACAGGATGTTTGTCAACTTCGCGTTTCACGATAACAGATAGACCGCGGATCTTTGTACCAAAACAAAACTTGTCTGCATCGATTGTGAAAAACAGCAGCCAGTTAGAAGTTTCTTTCCTCATTCGACGATCTTAATGTAAGCTCAAAGTAATCCGTCGACGTTATCAAATTCCATAAATCTTTCTACCGATCAACAGTTTTTTTTCTCTCAGTTTTATCAGGAATGCATCAAATCCGCGATCTTGATAGTTTTGCAAAGCACATGACAATTTATCAGCCGGCAGAGGTACGATGCAAAATATCAATGTGTGATCGGCCGTGTTGTTTAGTTGTTGAAATTCGAGATGCACTCTCAACAATGAGGTTAGTTCACGCGTACAGATACAGAAATCCAAAGGCATGCATCGCGCTCAGCTGTTCCAAACGACCTAGTAACCTATTCCAGCCTAGGGAGTGCATATGGTTTACGACGAGGCCTCAATTGAGCTCTGACCCCGTCATAAACCTTTCGCAAAAAGATAGCGCGGACCTATCTGCATTCACGGAAGCATATTGCATTGCGCGGCAAGTCCATTCGTCGTCGTCCTCATATTTTCCAGTATTGTTCTGCATAATTGATAGGGTTGACGGTGTGATCTCTAGCCGTCACCAGTTGCAAGTGCATCGTTCCGGTGTGCTCTAGTATTATTCGTATTTCTTTCTCGATCAAAAGCTTTTTCTAATTCATACTTTGTGGCCGTTCAACCGCATCACGCAGAAATGGAAATTGAATTAACACTAAACTTACGACAATTTAAACTGACTAACATGTCGTGCCGATTTATAAAAATGGCAAGACTGAATTTATTTAGACCGTTTACCAGTTTTATTACAATCATATTATTTTATTATAAACTATATGTGAGGCGTTCATTTTGAAAGTGGCATAAGTCACTTTACCGTAATGAAAAGTGGTGATTTTTTCATGTTTATATGAAATTATTTATACTGAGAAAAATATCGGTATCCTGAGATAACAAATACAAGTAAATCTTCTCGAAAGTTAGCATCCATATTTTTAAACGTGTTAAAACGCAAACCCTACTTAAATATATCGACTTAAAAACAAAGTGACTTATGCCACTTTCAAAATAAACGGCTCATATATTGTATATATATATATTGTAAAGTTTATAATAAAATAATATGATTGTAATAAAAATGGTAAACGGTCTAAATAAATTCAGTCAATTATAATATAATATATTAAGAGAAAAAAATGTTTGCTGTAAACGTTATTTTATAATTAAAATTGACTGAATTTACTTAGACCGTTTACCATTTTTATTACAATCATATTATTTTATTTAATTATTATTTAATTATTATTTTATTTTTCAAAATTCAATCAAACCGCAAAAATAACGAGCATTGCTA